TTCTTCTTCTTCTTCTTCTTCTTCTTCTTCTTCTTCTTCTTCGTCATCATCATCATCATCTTGGTTTCTTCTGTGTGTATGTGTGTGTGTGTGTGTGTGTGTGTGTGTGTGTGTGTGTGTGTGTGTGTGTGTGTGTGAGAGAGAGAGAGAGAGACATCCAAGACGAAGACGACGGCGACCGCGACGACGACGTTCCCGACGACGGCGGTGGTGGCGCGGCAAAGGGTGGCTGGGACCTCTTCGGGCGGGGACGTGGCGCAGCGATGGTGGACGGTGCATACATACACCCGTACATACACAAGTACCCGTCTGTACGACCTTTACGTCTGTCCGTACGCAAGCACCAATACGTACGGCCCGTACGCCTAAACGGGCCGGTGGACGGGTCGTGCTCGGCGACGGGGTTTTCAAGTTTCGGGCCTATCTGGGGGGGGGAGGAGGGGGGACGGGCCTGGGGACGGACGTTGGCGCTGTTAAGCGTACTCTGCTTTGACATCTGTGGGCGCTGGGCTCCCTGCAAGGCTGCAATGGCGCCCAGGAAAGGGAGGGGAAATCAGCCATTCGTTCCGGTTAGTAAGGACAACCAGAGGGAGGCGGAGCTGAAGTTTTGCGGTTTTAAGTGGATTACGAAGGGTCAGACAATGTCGAATTCAAATGGCAATTTCCTCATGGAGTGCAAGCTGTGTGGTCAGGGGTTTCACGGGAGCCAAGCGAAAGCCGCAGCACGGCACTTCACGATAAAAAACAATTGCGCCAAAATCTCTGTGGAGCATATGGCGGAGATCTGGAACAAGACAAAGTACGGGTTCGATCAAAGCCTTCACCAGAAGATCGTGGACTTTTTGAAGTCTCGTGGGTTTGGAGACAACAGATGTGGTTCGGGGAGGAAGCCGGCGGGGGAGGAGTTCAAGGACAGCGAGGAGGAGAGGAGGGCGGTCGAGGGTGGAGATGATGATGGTGAGAGTGATGCACAGGACATGGAGGTGCGGCGAGAGGTAGAGCACGCCACGGGAAAGATGAGGAGGGAGAAGGCCATTGACGAGGAGAGAACCCCTGACGAGGAAGACGATGACGACGATGCAGACGGCGATCGGACGACGGAGCCCGTTGAAGCGTACGTCGCATACGTACGCACCTCTGCGTACGTACGGACCAGAGGTACGACCATCTCCGTACGTACGGACCAGACGACTGGACGCGCCGTGCGCATTTTGAGCGCAGACAAGCACGACGACAAAGACTTAGAGAGAGAGAGAGAGAGAGAGAGAGAGAGAGAGAGAGAGAGAGAGAGAGAGAGAGAGAGAGAGAGAGAGAGAGAGAGAGAGAGAGAGA